TTTGCTCTTTTACACCCCGCGCCCTAACTATTGACGACCAATGTCGTCGCAATTGACTTATCCCTGTTTCTGATACAGCAAAAAATTTTCGATTAAATTCAAATTTCAGCTGCTGCTCGGTATTTGAATAAATTTGACATCGAACTTGACCCCTCCAGAGATTGCAAAAGCGTAAAGAAATAATATTTAGTTAGGTCTGACCGTTTTTTTTACTACCAACCCAATCGAGAAGATATACCAACCTGTTAAAAAAATGACTTCCGTGAATGCATTTAAAGACTACCAGTTACTGGAAACCTCTCTTACTAGTGCAAAACATTTTGCGATATCCAGCTTGGTGTGTGCAAGAGACCATTAACAGAGCACTCAGTACTTACTTCTGTACTAACTCGTCAGGCGGGATGAATATTTACTACTTTTGACAAATAAAAAGAATGTCATTAGAAAACTAGCTCGGTAGATCAGCTTTCGCCATGTTGTAGCGAGAAGGCGAGCTGGCTGGGAAAACGTTTATTTATCCAATTCAAAAAAACAACCGGTGTATGCGTTCAATTATGTACATTTGAATGTACATTCTTAATCGCGCGGCAGGATGATTCATGCCTCTTTCTCTTGGTCAATCCCTGTTGGTTTTGGTCCGCACTTGATACGTACATTGCCTCTTCTTCCGCGTGCCGTCCCGGTTGGTTTGACTCGATTGTAGCGCGAGATACGTTGATCGACAGCTCCGACTTAGTGGCATTCGGTGTATATCTTTCTGGCTAGGTTCGGATTGTTTGTCGGGATATAATTGTCGATTCGTTCGTTTCGGGTGGTAGTCAACATTGTCTCGCAAATTACTTCCAGCAGCTACGTTTGCGTGTCTGGTTGGATGGGTCCCATTCTTGATTCGTTCACTAACCGGGGCTCACTTTCTACCACTAGCCATCACTATATGCTGAATTATACGTTGACCACCAGTGAGATAAACCCATTGCCAAATGGACGGACGACGCGATTTAAATTTGTTGGTAAAATCAACAAATGCTCTGGCATGTTGGGCGTTCCATAATGGCTTTATATTACGTGGTCTCAGATGCACCTTAAATTGAGTCATCATTTTCCAAACGAAAGCGTCGGGAAAAAACGATTAATATGCCCGGAGTATCCTCCAGATTGGTTTCGTGCAACTCTTCTCTGCTGTGATCAAATACAACCATAGTCTTGCTTTGAAATGATCGGTTTTCTAGCTCTCGGTTTATGTCTTGATGGAGAAATTTCGTTGAATATGTTATAAATTGGACTTAAGTTCCACAAGACATCAGCTGAATCATCGGATTTATGTGCTTCTCGATTAAGTTGCCTCTTGGCTTTAATTGTATGCCAAAACCGTTCGAATGTTTCATCCGGTTGGGGTATGGTGACACAACAAAACGCTTATTCAACGAGACGCACACCTCGAGGTCGAAGATCAACTGGTATGTTTCTTGGACTATGTTTTTAGTTCTTTCAGTATTGTAGATAATGCGTGAATAGTTTGTAGCCAAATAATTTATCAATCTATTTGGGTTAGAACATTTTCAATAATTTGCTTACTTACTGTGCACTGAATGAAGAGAGATAAGCAATTTAGAATACATGGGCTCAACATAATGAACACTCATGGGACAGGAATCATTTATTAAAAACAATGAATTCCCACGCTGCTTTGCTGAAAATATTTTCCAAATCTGAGCTGCAACTTTCGAACTACTGCAAATTGTATTGCAACGCTCAAGGTCATGCTTATTCAAACGGCGATAGATGAAAACTAAAAACATAGGAGTGGGAGATAAAGTCAGGAATAAGCATACTTTCCCGATACCCATCAATATAAAAGTAGGATATTGGAGACTGAAATGTGATGTTGTAGAAGTTTGATCAGCACATGTAAAACCCGCATAAGCCCAATAACGGTGTCGTGACAAAGGTCGATGTGACTGGCCTTTTAAAACTAAAGCCATTGACCCCTCACTTCCGAAGCGAGTGATATATATATATATATTTATATATATAAGTAATCGCTCACCTCGGAAGTGAGGGGGTCAATGGCTTTAGTTTTAAAAGGCCAGTTACATCGACCTCTGTCACGACACCGTTATTGGGCTTATGTGGGTTATAAACAGGAGCCAGGTGACCAGCCTGAAACCCACCACACCCTGGTAGTGCTGCCGCTGTTTGTTCGCGACTGCTTATTTGTTGCGGTATGCCACAACTTATTCACAGTTAACCCCTATCCACAACCCGGGGACGCGCCTGGTCGTATTCAGCTCTATTTGACCCGAAGGACTGTGACGGAAATAATTACTCAAAAGTTGACAACAGCGATCAGTTAAACGTTCCACACAGCAAAATTGCGTCACATTGAGATCCAGACCGGCCCTCAGGTTGCAGCTCAAAGGTAAAATTCCTGTTTCTGCGATTTGAGTCTGCGTTTACTCTCTTACTTGTATGATATATGACCTATCACTATCATTACTTTTATGTACATACCTGTATACGTCTAGATAGGGGCCAAACAAATTATGGCACAGTATTCTCTGTAAACAATAGCTAATCATGTTGTAGCACAAGCTCGTGGTAAACAAAGAATCGAGTTCACATTCATTTCACTGAATGCACTGGGAAGCCATGTTGTACCGCTCTCCCTTACCACACAACCGGTTGATAAGACCACAGTACCTGGTCGTGCATGTGTGACCTCCGAAGTGAATGGCAGTAACTGTCGACAAAAAAATGGTGGTTACCACTATATGACAGGTGCCTTTGTTCCGAATTCGATCGCTAGCATGAAGTCTAGCCAACTGCCAAAATGATTGACAGATACGAAATGCGGGCAACCGTGATGGAAAATGTTTACTAACTGAGTAGTAAACTCGCATTCGGTGATATGCACATATATAAATAAGGTGCAAGCTAAACTGGTGATGAATAACTTAGACTACAACGTATGCAAAAATGGTTGCCTTCGGATGAATCTATTTCAGTGTTCCCTTGGATGAGGCGTATCAGATTGAACTGCGTGGTAAGGGTGTAATACTTGTGGTGCACGAAAGTAGCGAAAGATTTGATTCGATTACATGACGAATTTTTCGGTTCATGATTCAGCTGCTATACACGGGACGAAAGTGACCAAATAATCCAATCCAATCTTTTCCATAAGTTATGCTCGGACCAAAGTTTCGTCACTAGAGAGATGTGGGGAAAATACGTGAGAAAACTGGATTCCATGACAAGGAGCAATAAAATCACTATAATAGCCCACATTCGTGACAACAGTAATGGGTGGTTGGTACCAGTGTGTGTGTGTGTGTGCACTTCTGTACATGTTAGTGCATGTTTCAATAAAACTGATACTAATGGAGGCATTTGTGAGATAATGTGCGCATGATCACGCTGGCGTGTGATGATACGTATAGTCAGCTAATTGCATCATGTGATTCCAATCGAACAATGCCCAATTAAATATGTGATTCGTGTGATCAGCACTGACAGAGACGTTGGATATGGAAGTGACCATGGGGATGGATGGATAAGCGAATGTATCATCAACGAGGAGCGATTGATTGAGAAACAGGACATTAAAATAAATAATAATCTATATACCGATGTATTACTTCCTATTGTTGAATTCAGATAAACGAGCTGCAGTCAATCGAAGGGCCCCAAAGGGCACAGGTAGATGGGGATGTTAAGTAAATAAGATTTGCATTGTATTTAGCTCCCAACATATGATGATGATAGGCTTCAAACCGCCGAACTTAAAGAGCGATCACCTACATTCTTTGGAAATATACACGAATATGTGATTCATACACCACGGCATGTCATGTGAAACAGACACACGAAAGGAAGAGAAACAGGGGAAAAATAAGGTATGCTACAACGATTTTGTGGTAGTGATGGTCGAGTAGTTAAGCTCATCAAAATAGCGACCTGGTTGTCCTGAGTTCGAACCGCGCGCGTATTCCCATTTCTGTATTTCCCTAGACAGTATTGTATGGCCGCGCTCCCTGCCTGAAAATCGATTGTGCATTGACAAGAAACAAAATAGGAAATAACAAACATTCATATTTTATTCATTTCCTAACAACAAAATCACTGCACTCTCTTCATCTAGTTTTAAACGGTACGCAGTTTCATCGTTACCTTTTATCAGATTTTGGGAAAGAAAAGAATTAGGCTAAATCCCTCCCCAAATACGACGACATTATTGATGATTCAAAACAAACTACACAAGATATCTCCACCAATTTGCATAAGCAAAATCCATTTACATGTGATTCACGTGATTCACAAATGGATACCATTATTCACATGAACGATTGACTGGATTTGCGGCAAGTAGACAGACACTGGTCTATTTCAAAAACTCGACTGAAGCGTTGGAGTACACACGTCTATATAAAGGTGCTTGCTGTAAGATGCCAGTCACGGAAATACACAGAGAAAATAAGAAACCGAAAGTTGTTGAAATCTGTTCCTTTTCGGAAAACAGACATGCACGTGGTTATCATGTGAATAGTTAGACTATTGTCGAAAAAGAAAGCCTGAGAATTTTGCAAACAATACCGTCGCAAGTTTTGTGGAGAATTAGTGAATTGCTTGCAACATAGGGCGGTTGTAGCATATTCGAATATGGGCAGTATGGACCCCTGAGGTATTTAATGTAATCCATAAACTTCCCGTTTGTCCTTGGATCAAACGTAGAGGAGTGCGACATGTGATGTTCCGATGCGGTGTGATATCGAGTTATGTTTAGCAAGCATGTGCTTTCGGATGCATTGGTAATGGGGAGTCACGAAGTGTTAAAAAACTAAAGTACCGGACTATGGGTTCTGTCAAAGAACGAGGACCATCTGACTATAGATATATTCTTGCTGGGATAGTGACATGCGCAAACTTTATCTACATGACGTCAAATTATCAAACTAATTTTACCATTAAAAATTTCGAAGGTAGCTTTCGGACAACAAAACAAGTCATCCCCTTTCGAAAAACTCACCAGGGTGTAGGAACCCGTCAGGATCTGCGTGTTCTTCATGATCTGATGTAGAATCGTTGTCCACTGCACCATACGACCGACTAGCATGAAATGTATAACGTCTTCGTGGGGCATGGAACCGTTTCGAGTGAGAACGTGTTCTGGGTCGAGGTCTATCCAGAGTGGCGCAATCCTGAGACCAATCCGGCTGAGTTGAACCGCATTGGAGACAGTTCGAATCCGAGACGGAATTGACCATCATGGACGAAATAGACGGTCCACATGCGGAGTCAGTCACGGAACGCAATAATGGATCTGGTTCGGCAGATGTGTTTGTGTAGGATGACGTGAATGAAGTGAGCAATGAGTCAGCCGTGGGTTGGTTCGAGGGCCCGAGAAGATGAGTCATGGGAGTAGAGTCAGGAATCCGTACCTCACTAGTCACTTCCGAGACCAACGGAGACGGTAATGTGATAGACGGATTGATTGTGATCGGGTCGAGAGGACCCGATCTAGATTCCAGACTGGCCAGCGATTCGTGCTCACTGGAGAACGAGTCCGACAGTGGTCCGTCTAGATTATCATGTAAATGCCAAGCGTAGTCTAGTTTATCCTCAACCTGTTCCAATTCGATTTGATTCGCCTGCAATTTGTAACGCAGTTTGTCTAGAACCTCTTCTAAACTTTGCAGATCTTCGGTAATATCCGAAGCGGATTGGAACAGGTCAGTGAATGGGACGGTCGCAGGTTTTTGTGCGCTCGATTTCGACTCACGTTTACCCTCCTTGATCCAATTGTTTGGTGACAATGATGACGTTTCCGGACTCCCAGTACTTACACTGTCCACTTTGTCAAGCAGTGAGGTCAGTGTGCTGAGTAAATGCATTAGCTGGGCTTCCTCTTCCTGTTGCAGTCGTTCCTCTTCTTCAGGATCAAGAACATTGAAAGAAGAACAATCAAACAAACGCGGATTGGAAGTATAAAGTTCGTCATATTCGAAACCATCACTGTCCAGGCTGTGCGTGGAACCTCGAGAACCCTGAAGACGGGAATCAAATGACCCGGCTCGATCAAGACAAGTCCATGGGCCGGCTCGACGTATCTCCGGGGATGTGACCAAGGATGATGCCCCGTGCAAATGGGTGGACTGTGAACCCGGTGGCTGGGAACCCAAAAGTTCCAGAGCTTTAGAAAGGATGCGGCTAGCCGAGATACGTACCTGTTCTGGGGATGCAAACGATGGTCGCGGGGATTGAATGAGAGGATGAGGAGGAATATCTACGTCAGAATCGGACGCGTAGAACACGGGATCTCCAGATGGATGAGCGTAATTTGATCCGGGCGGACTATCCGTGGATAGTTGTCCATCTGTAGGTGGTTTGGATTTGAAAGACGAATAGACATCTGCTGGTGAAGCTGCCGGTGCACCATCACCAGATGATCGAGCCATTTTTGGAGCTATGGAAAGGACGCGCGAGACAGAATGGTTTATGACAGCGGGAGAAAAGAGAGACGTAAAGGAGGTGTCAAACAATGCGATGAAATTGTAAGTGAAAAGATTCAAACAAACAGACAAGCATATTTTTCTGAAAACTTTGCAATAAAAACAACGACAAATATTTCAATCACTTCTCAAAAAATATCTGCATCTCAGTAATTGCGATTATCACCACTGTTTGTTTTCATGGCAAAATATTATGTTTTCAATACTATTATGTGCTTGGTATAATGTCCCGCCGATAATTCGAAGTAATAATCTTGTGTGAAGTTCAAGGAAAAGTTTCTAGTTGATAAAAGTAGGGCGCGGATGTTCGTGTATTATACTAATGCAAATAAACTCCAGATTGGGCTCAGATTACGGTGCATTCGTACGGATGTATCGAAAGTCAAATCTACTTGGACAGGCAATCTTAACGATGATACAAATGATTATCCGTTGGATCGTAACTCAGTAGACGATCGGGTATAATTCCTGACACCAATCTACACCACTTTCAAAGCGACTGATGCATGCCTCTAAGAGAGCCACGATCACAACTGAGAGATGCATCGTTGGCGCCGGAACGGGAATCATGTGCGGCAACATTTTCAAATGCTACAGCTATTATAAGCGGCAAATACGAATAAATGAACCAGAATATGAAACAAAATATCTAAAAAACATCTATTCGCCCTTTAATTCAAGTCAAGTCAAGCTTTATGAACCCAATAGGGTGGATTTTTTAGCACTTTCGACAAGTGGCGGTGGCGCAGTGGTTTAGTCGCTGTCACTGGCGTGCTTTGGACCCTGTGGTAAGAGGTTCGAGCCCCGCCACCGCCAGCCCACGTTGCTGGTAGGCAGCTTTGCTGTCGTCTGGTTCAATACCACGCCTAACCTAGCGGGGTCTTAGGTGGTTCGCCACTTCAAGTGTCGGGGCTTAGGTTATCGGTTTCCATCACTGAACAGCAG